TGCCGAAGTTCCACTCCCCAGTTAGAGTTGCCTCTTTGTTCGTGCCTGTTGGTGTTTCTGGCTCTTGGTCTCTCCATATCACAGTCAAACAAGCAAACAGAAAAAAAGAGGGGAGAGAAAGGGAATTAATAACCTCCCAGAGAGAAGGAATGGTATAAACCACTGTGAAGGAAACAAGCTTACCAACAGCTGACTAAACGCCAATGAAAACACTTCCCTTTGGGCTTCAGTGGTTGAAGATTAACATGCTGAGAGTTTATTCTTCTCTTCAGGAAGTGATCATCCATCCTTCTGATACACCCCAAACAGCCCTATCTGGGATTAAAATAAGATGATTCCTCGCTGTGGGATTTATCAGGGTGCTCTCACATGTCTTCCTCATTGAAAAGCAAAAGCTCATGCTTCTTAGGAAAACACTGAGCAGCAGAGATTTTCCTAATAAATCAAAGGGGCAATGCAGGACGCCCCGTGGTGTTTTTAGAGTTAAAACAGCAGGAGTTACCTGTGACTAGAATCAGCTGAAACCTGCATTAAAAGTGATGTACAGATAGATCCCTTAAATCAGTGGTGCCCCAACTCTGCCATAGTAGAATACCCAGGAGCTTTGAAAACCTCCAGTGCCTATGATATAGCCCACACCAATTAAATCACAGTCCCTGGAGGCAGGATCCAGGCATCACTGTCGTTGTAAAACTCCCCAGGTGATTTCAACAACACAGCCAAGTCTGAGAATCAGAGCATTTGTAAATGCAGGTGCACGGCACTGCGCTTTGAACATCTCTGACTCCAGGCTCCATTTATTCTTTTCTTCCACAAGCAGCTGATATTCACAACAAAAGACAAGGACTAAGGATTGTAAAACCAAACAATAAACAGACAAAAACCCAAGTGCCATAACCCAGGCCATCTTAAGAAGTGAAGTTAGAAGGACGTGACCATCCAAAACGGAGGTAGATTTCTCACAGTGCTGGCTTTATAAAATGAACAAAAGTTTCTTGCTAAAACCATGTTCCATTTTCTCTTTTCAAATAAAGAGACCATTGACAGAGTTCAACTTTGGTATCCTCTAAAGATGATCTGAAAGTGGAAATCTACGTGATTAGAGTCTGGAGACTGCAACAAGAATTTTCACTTGTAATTAGCCCTACCACAAATTCAGAAGGAGAGTTGTTAACTCATTTCTGACAATAAATTTGGTGGTAATATTTGGATAAAATAAAATTACTTGAATAGTGATATATTTAAAAAGATAATCTAGACAATTACAAGAACCTTAAAAACTTTAAAAATCTATCATTTGTGCAGAGAGAATTCCTGATTAATTGTAACCATATTATTCTTAGTATTTTCTCTGCATAATTTACCTTTTTTGTGTTATTGTTATTGCCATAACCTATTACCATTTGGGTACCCAAGGTGAGAAATACTGCATTGGAGTGGTTTTGTTTAAAAGACCTGCAGTGAAACTATCTAATTCATCACTTCCTAATTCTACTCTATGCACTCAGATATGTCAGGAAAGTAGAATCTTTAAGTATCTTCAAGTTCTTGCACAAGTCAGAGATGTCCTTTGAGATTTCCAATGATTTTATATTCCATTCTCCCTTTAAGTTCTACTCTGCACAGATTGGAGTAGTATCTGTTTATATTAGGTCACTGCCTTTGTCATTTAAAATCTTGGAAAGAAGAAGAAATCCCAAGTATAATTTTCTATATCTTAGAATCTGTCCACTCAACAGCCATTTATTAGGCACATATTTTATGCAAATCAGACTCTGTTGTAGGAGCTGGAGACAATGTCGTTTAAGATTAAAATCTAGTAAAGGGAGATGCACAATTACAAAACACAAATTAGTATATTACATATCAGGTGGTGGTAAGTACCATGGAGATAAAGTGTGATCAAAGAGTGAGAGGATTATTATTTCAAAGAGGTTAATGTGGAAGCCCTCCCTCTACAGTGACCTCTGAGCGCAGTTTGGATCCCAGCAGGAACAGATGGCATATTCAAAGGAGTGATCAGGAGAACTGGGCAAGGGTACTGTTTACACAGGTATGGACAGGACGCAGGCACTAACTGCAGCGGGAAGCCATTACCATCCACAGTCCCCAAGGGGCAGATAGTGGAGCTGTAGCCAAGAGAAAGAGGCCGCTTGACAGCAGTGGGGGCCAGAGGAAAAGGAATTCAGCCACTGTCCAAAGCGCCCCGGAGGGAGGGAACTGTTCATAGAGGTCCGCCTCCTGCAGGACAGACGGCAGGGTGCAGAGATAGGCTGGCAGAAAGGGAGGCAGATGGAGTGGGTCCTCCCAAGTTCTGGGGACAGCACTCCAACCAGGGACTAGGTCCTTAAGGGAGTGTGCCTGGCACATTCTAGGATGGCAGTGGGGTCCCTGTGGGTAGGGACTCAATGAGCAAGGGGAAGGCATCGTGGAAAGCTAGATCATTGAGGTAAGTAGAGGCCGATGGTGCTACAAAAATCATGGCTCTTGTTCTAAGTATGGTGAGTTGAGGACTCTGGGGGGCAGTTGTGAGCAGAGGAGGGACATGGCTGCTGTGTGGGAAACAGATCCTCAGAGACTACACGGAAACAGCTGCAGTGACTCAGAATTTACAGAAGTTCAGATGAGAGATCATGGGAGTTTGAAATAAGGTAGTAACCACAAAGGTTATGAGAAGTATTGAAGGAATTACATCTGCAAACCTGTCGTGATATTTTCATTCATTTTAGCTTCACAGTGATATTCCTCAACTCAAGGAAGGGAGGGAGGGAATATGTATTGAGCACTTGTTTTGTGCCAGATTAATCACCGAGTATTCAACCTGGGCTCATTTGTTTTCTATTTCATTTTCATAACAATGCTATGAGGTGGATACTATTTACCTCATTTCACAGATTAAGAAATCAAGACTTAGAGGGTTCAATATGTGCAAGGTTCCTCAGATTTGGATAGGGAGGGTGGAAATCAGTCTATCTGATCCCAAAGCAGTCTCTACTGCCAACTACCCTGTCCCCAATTCTAAGGGATGTACAGCATGGACAGATATCGTTTGTGTTATAACACTTGATAAACTCTTCCAAAATCTCTTTCAAAGGATGCTATGAAATTATGAAAAAAGAAATGGTCAGAACTAATTTGTATCTGCTATAATAATCAGAAATGAGCATGATACTTTGGGGTACTGCAAATCAGTACTGAGTTTATACTCACAAAATTAGTACTGGTGTGGCCAATGAACTTATCACCTAAATAATTTATTTAAATAGAGTAATCAGCATACATTGAACAAATGACTGTAGGGAACAGAGTACCTATTGAATTTGAGTTAACCTACTGCGTAAAAGCATAACTTGAATGTAATAATTTTTTTTTTAATTCTAATGTGCCTTCGTCTAAAGGGTTCATTTAAAACATAATGATATTGGTCATTCTTGTTAATGTTTCTAATGCAGCATTAAGCTAAAATTAGTCAACTGGTTGAAATGGAGTTATTCAATTATGATTAAAATAATTCAGATCGAATATTTTATGTTAGAAATTATATTTGAGCACATAATGCTACAGAATAAATTAAAGTATTTATCTCCATTTTACCTTGTGTTGAAAAAGCAAAGTCAGGCTCAATGCATACACCTGGTCAACAGCCATATGGAGGCATGATTAAACTCCCATCTGGGCAAAAGCCCAGTGCGTTGAGAAAACATGTCAACATTTGGAAAAGCTAGGTGTTTGGCCCCAGGCTGGCAGAATTCATACAATATCAGCTCAGTAACAGATGTGTCATGTGGACTTCTAGAATATGTGGCTATTTGTTGTAACACAAGGCTAGCTTATAAAGAATATTCTAATAACAAATGTAAACCCTATTAGCATTTTTATTCCAGGGCATATTGAAATATGAGACTTATCTAACCACCAACTGATGGACACGCAAACTGTAAATATCAGTGACAGGCATCATGAGTGTTATAAAAATGATGGAGAGGTTATTGATTGATAGTGGTGCCATATCGCCTTTACATGTGAAATTGTATGTGCTATAGTATCGTCTATGATTTAGATGAGATTTTACCAAAGTCTGTGGGAATTACCTAAAAGATTCTTTCTAAGGAGAACATTCTGCTATATTTCTAGTAGGTGTGTATGAAATATGTCAAATCTTGACACTATATTTATGAGGTAGAGTTTTTGTTGTTTTTAATCATCATGAAAAGGTAGATTCACAGAGTAGTACATCTGGATTCTGTGCAATAATTACACCTTAACTCAATTCCAGTTGTGCCATTAGGCTGAACAGGAAATTTAAGTCAATTTTTAAAAGGTTTTTGTTACTAGAATTTGGCAGAATGGATGTTAATTTTTTAAAAGGTGATGGCAAGGTGCTTCACAGAAGAGGAAAAAATAAGCATTCTAAACAGTTTAATGGCACAATGTATGAATTTGGATTTCACTGTGGCATGTTTCAGATTACTGTCATTCATTTCGATAAAATGGATTACCAAACTCTGAAGATGAAAGCATTTTTGTTTCAGAAACAGTTCACAACCATCAACATTCTAAAGTATATTTGACCTATCTTTTCTACTTATTAATCTACTTACCTTCCTACCTACCTATGCTTAGAAAGATACATATCAGAAAGTTAAAATGATTACCTATGAGTGAGGGGATTATAGATAATCATTTTTCCTCTTTATGATACTCTATATTTTGTGATTTTTTTAGCACTGAGCATGTATTATTTATATAACTGGCCTTTTATAAAGCTATTTAATTTTTCTTAAAAGTCTAGTTAATGGAGTAAAAAAATAAAAGTCTAGTTAATTTTGAAGACAAGAAAACCAAGTATCATGCTTAGCATAAAGTATATGAAAAAAGACATAACTAGAACTCTTACAGAAAGTCTTAGAAGTCATAGAAAATCCTTTAAACTTTTCTAATGTGAAATTGTGAAATGTGAAATTAAAATATAATAAGTAAAGAAAGTGCCATAAGCTGAATATATTGCATTTAGTGGATGTTTTATTTGCAAACATTACAGTTTGGACATATCTGATCCTTTAAATTCTGTTGTCCTAGAAATGATCATTCCATTTTGATGCTTAGGGCATTTTTTTGCATTTTTAAATCCAAGACTAATTGTAAAAGTTGGAATTTGAGGCATGAGCTCAGAGCCAGCTGAATAATGGAGTCTACTTTGACCTTAGATGTATAGGTCAGAAAGGGGAGTGTTTACGTAGAGGGGCACATGATACTAAAGTTTTTTATCCATCCCCTGTTCCTCATTTCTGAAGCCTGCTCACAGTGGATAAACCATCAGGGCATTCAAAACAGGCTCTAAAAGTACCCATCTCATGGTCACAGCGAGGGGATGGAAGCATCTCACCTGGTGTGAAAATGACAGTCTTTAAGCCAATCTGTACATCATGGCTCTGGAGGATCAACAATGGCACATGCCACCAGTTCTCCAGCTGGTGTGCCCACATCACAGGCTGATGAAAACGACTCCTGCCAGTTCCTTCTTCCTCTGACCCTTTGAAGTGAAGATTACCTGGACAGCTTACTCAGGCATCTGTTGTTGTTGACAAACATCAGAAGATCAGCTGTCCTATCCCAGGGCTACTATTTACTATTTCTGTGTATGTCTTCATAACTCAACCTGAAAATGGGAAAATACCTGACTTGCTCATCTTTTTTTTTTTTTTAATTTTTTTTTATTTTGGCATATTATGGGGGTACAGATTTTAAGGTTTCAATAAATGCCCATTTCCCCCTCTCCCCCCAAAAGTCTGAGTCTCCATCATGACCATCCCCCAGATGGTGCACATCTCACTCATTTATCTATCTAAAGGTGCTTTATAAACTGTAATGGAAAATGCAGTTTTTCCTAATTCAACAAAATTTCAGAGGGTCTTCTAAATGCAACAAATATTTATCAGGTCTTCTATGCAATCATTCAACTTTATGCTGCACTAGATAAAAAGAAAGAGTTTAAGGAGCTAAATCTTAAGCCTTTATTTATTCCATGTGTTCATTCATCAAGTACTTATTGTATTTGCCTCTTAAGTGTGAGGCACTTTCATAGGTGCTGGAAAATAGTTTTGAACAAGATAACCAAGGCACCCATCATCAGGGAGCTTACAGTCTAGTAAGATGATGAATAAATAGCTTAATTAGGATAGAAATTGCTGTGATGGCTTAAGTAAGGGCATATGCCACATGTTGAAGGACACAGGAAGTAATTCATGATGAAGATGACATTTGAGTCAGACTGGAAAATGTTTTAAAGCAACAACAACATAAGTTCCCAAGAAGGATGAGAAGAGAGAAGGGATAATGTGAGTAATGGTTCTGGGGTGGGAGAGCTTAGGTCATGCACTAGGAAATAGCGAATAGCCCGGTTTATGTGGAGGTAAGGCAACATTGCACATGGCAGGAAGGTACCAGGAAAAGAGGTTGAAAAATTGTTTGGAAGCCTCAATGACGCATGTCTATGTGGATAGGCAAGAAGTTTGTTCTGAATTCAACAGGCAGTGGGGGAGCAATGGAAGATATTGAGTCAGGGAGTGGATGGATGGCAGGTATGTTTTAAGAAGATTGGTCCAACAGGAATGGATTAGAGTTGGAAAAGAGTACATGTGAAACCCATTGGGAAGCCATCACTATCTATCAGTATCTTTCTCAGTGCCACTGTGGTTCATACAAATAATGGGGTGCACTGCAAAGCCAGCATGCAAATGTAATGGATATGACAGAAAAAAATCTAGCCAGTTTCCCATTCACAGGTACCTCTTCCCCATATAAATCCCATGTTTTCCAAGCTCATGAATATAAATATCTCTCTTCAGCCTTGTTTAGTGAAGCTATTGCATCCAAAGTAGGAGAAACCGGGATTTTACCCACAAGTAGAGCGAAGATACTTGCAGAATGAACTCAGCCCCAGCGAAGAAGTTTATAAGCTAGGACATTTGTTCAGGCAGCAACTACCCATCAGTTACTTATTTCTGGTGGAGCAAAAATGTCTTAGCCTCTTTCTCCCCAATGTGTTGAGAATTCTGTTGATTTACTTGAAATCCCGAGGGAGAGGCCATAAGCAACAGTAACCTATAAACCCGGCAGTGATATCTAGTGGTAGTGCAATGCCAGCAGCAGTTAGACTGGTTGATGGACACATAATATTTATGTGCATGTGTGAGAGAAAGAGGGAGAGCAGGAGAGATATCCTACCTATCAGAATAAAAAGAGAGAAATGAAGAGATTGACTTGAGCACTCATCATTCTCAAAAGACACTTGTGCATTGATTTCAACAAAATTGTCCTTAGGCATAGAAATGTGAAAAATGTTTTTGTGGTAAAATTTAGATTTTAGCCTCAAGCTAAAAATATGTGTCAGAGGATACAACTCTTCACCTGAAAGTTTCCATAGATACGTGGATAAAACTCAGTGTATTCTTGGTTCAAATAATCCATTATGCCTATGGAAAAAATGTAGCTCAGAGCTATATTGTGACGTTCAATGTCACATGCATTTGTCATGCCATTTTCCTCAGTTTCTGTTCCCTTTCATCTGGGAAGTCATTTCTTGCCCCTGTTCATCTCCTGCCAAGCATTTTCTTTTTCTTTTCTTTTTTATTTTTTTCTTGGCTAGCAATTTCTATTTCTTATGGAGATTTTTTTTTCCTCCTTTCTTTCTGAAGAGGACTGACTAGTTCCTAGAGCTTTCAAAACTTAGCATATATATATATGTAAGATATCTATAACCGCATATATACTATATATACACACTCATGCTATCAATCATTACAGTATTTTTAACTCTTAACTTAATGTTCTGAAACATTGTTCTGCTTCGAGGGTTCTGCTGACTGAAATGATAGCATGTGAGGTCACTTCCAAGAAAAAGGGGTTGTCATTAAAGTGAACGGATTTGAAAAAGCAACTTTTTCTAAGCTTAAAACTTTGGTCTGAATGACTTAAAATCATTCAAGAAACAAAAAGAAATACAAAAAATAAATAAGCCCCACCAAAACGCTGATTTTGCTCCAGTAATTCTTAAGCAATGGAGAGCAGCTGTCTCAATGGCTTAAAGAAGCCCAGAAGGTAATGCCATACAATTTAGCCCAATCAGGAACCATTCAAAGACCTGAAAAAGAAATCTGAAAAAAAAAAAAAAAAAAGGAAATCATAAACTAAATCACTAATGGGAAGAAAAAGTAGCAAGAGCCCATAAGGTCTTTCTCTAATAGAGTTAAGAAGAAAATGAGCTTTTAATGGATTTATTGTAAGAATATTGACAGTAATTATCAATGACATGAAACTAGTCTTTAAAGCTCTTTTAAAGATGCATACCTAAGAGAATGTCACCAATATTTATTCAGGGTCTTTCATGTAGAAATGTGCCCCTGGTACCAAGAATCAGTACCAAGATTAACTAGCAGTGAGGAGACCTGTTTGGGAAGTCCACCCGGTAGATTGTATGGTCCATCTCAGGTTCTCAGTTTGATCTGCTCAGATTCTTGATTTTCCTTCCCAGGATACGAGGAACAATCCCACTTGAGGCGACCTCGTGTTGTCTAAACCCACAAGGATATCATCAGCGTATTCACACTAAGAAATAAATGATTGTTAGTATTTTGCATTCGCTGATTCCAGAGAGATCCTCATTTTAACCTGATGTCACAGGAGGCCATCTCTAAAGACAAAAGTCCATTATTATAGTAAAAAAAAAAAAAAAAAAAAAAAAGGGAAGTCACCCTCACCACATTCCTTAACGTTAAGTGTACTCCTTGCTCCTGTGACGGCCATCACCACCCTGTTAAGACTGGTCTGTCCCAAAGAATTGCAAAGAAAGAAGAAAAGTCTACTTTTCTTGGTGCTGTCATCTGTAGGATCCCTTCAGGGTGCTGCCAGCCAAGCCAGCTGTGGTGACAGAGAGGATGACAGGTGAGGGCATTGATAGTAAAAGAATCACTTCCTTTGGATATGAATTCTTTTTAATCCCCATTCAAATCCTTTGTAATTCCCAGTAAACTTATTATTGTGGATTCCTATAGGAATTAAAGCAAAATATAAAAACAAATTTCTAGAGCAAACATGTAGTAGATCTCAAATATCCTCAGTCAAATAATAAATGAATCAGTAAAACTAAAGACCATGATTATAAAAATTGAAGTAGTATTGATTGGCTGAAGTATAAACAGTTGGGTTCAGGAAAAAAAAAAAATCATTGTTTTTCTAACTTCTGGTAATAGAAGAGTATGCACCCATTGTCCCAATTTTTAGACTTCCAGTTTTCTTTAGAACAAGTATATTTCACAATCTGAAGATAAATTAGATAGTGACTCATTAAAAAGGCTCCATCGAAATTAAAAATCTTTAGGGGTATGGCTCTCTGTACTCTTATTAAAACCTAAATTCTTTGGAAAAGTATCAAGTAGAAACCTACTTAACTTAAAAAACACATGTGGAAAAATTACAAAAATCAGAAATCAATTCTTAAGCAGCTACTCTAGAAATAGGTTCTTCAGTGGCTACTGCAGTTTCTAAAAAGGTGTATACTTCACCAGCACAGCTTACTGTCCTAGTCAGTTCAGCCTGCGGTAGCCAAAATGCCACAGACTGCGAGGCTTACAAACAACAGAAGTTTATTTCTCACAGTTCTGGAGGCTGGGATGTCCAAAACCAAGGCTCTGTAGATTCCATGTCTGATAGGGGCCTGCCTTCTGGTCCATGCATGGTTGTCTTCTCACTGTCTTCACATGGTGGAAGAAAGCATCAGAGTTCTGTAAGATGTCTTGTATAAGGGCACTAATCACTTCCCAGAGGCCCTGCCCCCAAATACCATCACATTGGATTTAAACATATGAATCTTGTAGGAATACAGACATTCAGTTCATTGCACTGAATGATGGATGCTGGAAGAACCAAAATATTCCTTCCCTTGTTATTGCTTATTTTAATTAATAAGCCATAACTTATTATCCCACAAGATTCATCCCAAGTGAGCCATAGGACATTAGGAAAAACAAAATGTGATAAAGCCAAATTTAGATCACATTGCTAAATTTCATACCAGGGATCACCTTTCCGAGTGGAACCGAGGCATGGGTAATTCTCCCACCTCAAAAGAACTTTAGAATTATACCCAGCACAATGCACTAAATACTCATGCATGAATGTCAACACTTGGTTTTTCATTCTGAAAGATTTTTAGTCTGGATGTGATTGTCATGTCTTGCTGTACATTGCACCACTTTTTTATATATTTTTTTTCTGGTTAATAAACATTTCAGAATGCAAAGACTGAGGAAATTTAATTGCATCCTTCAACAATTAACTTGCTTTGTTCAGACTACCAAAGGTAATGTCATGGTCCTATGGCCAGAAAACTACATTTAATTAGGACCCATAAATACCCCCCTCTGATCACCCCGATGCCCCATCCCTGCCTAACTTTCCAAAAATGGAAGGTTCCCACACTACTGTCTCTCTTCTCATCCTAGCCTCCTCTCTGTGCCTTGAGAGCACACGGTGACTGTTTCACATTGGTGTCTTGTTTCCACATGGCAGAGCTTTTTCCCCTCTTACAGCATATGTTTAATTTGGGGATGGAACAGGATGTTTAAAGCTGTGGAATTATCAGTTTGTTTTCCTTAGAAGGCACAGATGCCCCAACATGTGAAGCCCCAGAGTTTTAACGTCTCCACGGGGCAAAGTGCCCAGCGTTGCATCTATGTCTACACAGTTATTACTATCTAAATGGGCTAATGTTTTGAGCCACCACTTTTTGCCATTTGCTGCCATAATGTTGACTGAACACAACTGAATAATATACAAGGAAGGATTCAAATGCTTCAATTAAAGGGAAAAAAATGTCCAGATGACTTGAGGAAGTTCGTACAACCCAGGTTTTCACATGAGATATGCTTCCATCTGCTCTTATAATCCCAAAATATGGCTCAGTTTGTGACAGTGGCATTCAAAGTTTGCCCATGTTTGAGTAGAGAGATTACTCTTTAGGAGAAAAATTGCTAGATTCATTTTTCAGCCGCCCTTAATAGGTTTAAAGTTGGCTTGGCATGGTTTAGGAAGCAGCAATACGGCTCTTTCAGCAAGTCCTCTAAATTGAGAGGAATAACGGAACTGTCCTCAGAAATCTAAGACCACGTTGTCATTGTCAGTCCTTTGGGGTGGATCCAGTGCTGTTGTCCCCCGATCTCTAGGTGAACACAGTACAGCTTTTGACAAAGTTGTGATGACATTAATGATGAAGGGTTGGGGAACTTACTGCTTTGGGGCCACATGTGGCCTTCTGGATGCTTGAGCGTGACCTTTTAACCGAATCTGAATTTTATAGAACAAATTCTTAGCTCTTCCACAAAAGCGCTGAGAGGGAAAGGCACAGGACCAACACTCTAACGGCCACTGGGAGCCTCCTGCACAAAACCCAACTGGTAAAGGCCAAGCAAGCCAAAATAATACATTCAAGGGTAGAGTGATTTCAAAGGATGTATTAAACTTCATGTATAACATTTCAGGAATAGAAGAGAGGATAATTGGACCCATGTAGGGAAGTAAATATTTCTTAAAAGATCTAACTCTAAGCTCTTCAGTTGTAAGATTCTGACTAATTGTGCCTACATCAAGATGATTCTGATTCAGAACTTGGTGAAATGAGTTTAGGTTAAGCACCATAGAATCTGATTACGGTTCTTCTCATGTTTCCATATTCTGGCACGTTCCTTCCAGAAAGACCAGCAGCTTCTTGGTTAATGTGGTTCTGCCTTTTTCTGGCCTTTGGCCTCTACACATGGAAACAGTCTTTCTGACTAGCAATAATTCTTCTTTCCTTCATGCAAAAATTGGAATAAAGTAGAGGAACCCACAATGTATTCATATGTTTGACGGTTTTTTTCATGATTGTAGTTCTCAATTGTGAAAGATGGGAACATTAATAGAAATTATTTTTATGGGATCTCCTTTAAAGGAGATTGTAAAACTTTACAACGTAGCAACAGCCTGAGTGTTCCTTTCAACTTCTCATCCAACTCAAAATTTTAAAAACAGGTTAGAGGACATTAATTCATTCAAAGAAATCCAGGACAGGGGTAGTAGAATTTTTCTCTCTTAATATGTTCTGCCTTTTCACAATGTAAGGATCATAATTGTGGATAATGACTTTCTTGCTATGTAACTTTTGGATTGTACATTTTACGGCCTATGGAAACAAGAGGAGAAGAATTGGAAAACTAATGATTATTTTAGGTATGTAAGTTTAGGGTTGGCATTGTGAAATGCAGCACCCTTAGTTCACCTTACAGCAGTTAATACATTTCAAGGCACAACACAATAGTATCTCCAAATCTTCATAGATACAGTTTTCTATTGTGTTTATATTTTAATTTTTATCAGTAAGATCTTATGACTACTTTAGCATATTTTTCTTGGCAACTCAAATTTAAAGATGTATTCTTGTGTTTTGATACATTTCCAAGACTCGAGCCAGATTTGTTCATACTGGGTTATCTGTTAGTCAAATGTAAATTGCAACAGACCCCTTTCTGACATTTTGTATACTCATTCACAATGAAAACATACAAAACGCATAACCCTGATGTGAATACACAATGCTCTTTGTTCCCTATGTTGATTATACAGCAATGCCAAACTCTAAAGAGGGGTAATTATAAACCCTTTGTGGATTCTGTGGAAAAGACAGAGATTCTTTGCTATGATTAAGTATTAGATAGATTGTGGTTGGGATGGGTTGCTTCTAATGTTCTTTTGGTCTCTACACAGTTCAAAACCATTTCCAGTGATAAAGGACAGCTTTAGTCAAAGGTCAAAATTATTTTCAGGAATGTAACACACAAAAAAAGAGTTACATTAATAACTACATGCTTGATATCTTGCACACTAATCTTGGTCAAGATGTTTCTAAGTTCTTCTCTTCAAAAATCTCTATTTCATAACTATTTAACTGTTTTGTGGTTAATTTTTCAATAATGAAAACAATGTGTACCCTTTAGTGAACATTAGTGGCCAAAGAAAAACGTTAAAAATGCAAATATCTTCCCATTTTTTGTGGCTTGTGCTTCTCTGCACTGTATTTAAGTATCACAATAGTCAATCACTACATATTCAGCTATATTATTTCACAAGGCTCTTGACTTGACCAAAAGAGCCAAATTGACCATTTTGGAAGATGCTGTTTTAATCAGCTTTTTACTTTCCTGGTCTGTAAAGCAACTGAAGCAATCTTTTAGCTATAAACTATGTTTTTTCTCCTTAAATGTGGCCTAAAATTAATTCCAAAACAATAAAATATTGAAGTTTCTCTTTCTAAGCTAAAATTAAGATGCTGTTTTCATCTTATTTTCCATTTTGATCCATTTTAAGGGATTGTGAAAAGGACTAACCTATTGCTTGGAGGGCAGCCTGCAGATAATCTTGCCCAGAGTAAGCAATCCTTTTTAAGACAGTTTGTATTGAATGTACCAAAACAATTTCTACCTCAAGGCTTCCATCTGGTCAACCTCTGTTCAGTCCCGCAAAGAATGAATATGGAAATGTTTTTTGTATCTTTGGCACTCTTGGCTTTTACTAATTTAACAGAGTTTTATTTAAAAGCCAAACAAACAAATGTAACAACAACACTAACAAAAATCTTGAGGAAAGCTCAAGCCACCAGCTTGGAGTATAATGTCAGAGCATTAATATCTGCTGATAAAGTATTTTCAGTTCAGCATTAAACTTATAAAGGTAAGCAAAGTGGTCTTCCCTATGATACCAGTGTGAGTATTATGATATGGGTTGGAGGAAGCCTTAGGAGGGACGCAGAGGGCAGGAATGGAGGGGATATGTCATGAGTTGCATACCCAGTCTGTGTGTCCCCGCCCTGACCCACACCCCCACCCATGTCACAGTATCAAATCATAACTTCTAAAAGGCAACCAGAATGGTAACCAACAGAATATGCAACATCCTTGTACGTAAAGTGTCTACAAAAATGATGAGCCAGAATCTAAATCTTGAATTTGTATAAAAGGGAACTAAAAGCAAAGATTGTCCAGAAAAATGATGTTAAATAGAGATCATTAATGACATGTCAGATGTATGCTTCCTTCCCTCCTTGTTCCCAACCTCCACCCTGAGCATTTTTTTTAATGATGTTGTGATTAAGAGTGGAGTATTAAATACTGACTAATGCTGTATTAAATACTGATTAATCTTAATCATGACATTAAGATTTATTTTTTCAAGCTTGATCCAAATACTGTTAAGACATATATCCAATAACTATAAACTTCTAGATATCTTTCTAAAGAGAAACATGACTCATAAATTATAGACTCTTGGGATATAGGTGCTTTGGGAAAGTTTATGAAAGGTCACCATTCTAGACAGATATGTTATGCAGTTGGTATGGAAGGATTTCCCAGAAGTATTTTGGTTTGCTTGAATGAGGGCTTTCTTAAAAACAGCTGACTTAAGTTCTGAAAAATAAGTTGGTTAGTTCAGAATTGGGCTCATGTTGGCCAACCATGTAGAGTCCTACCCC